CACTTGTTGTTTGATAATTTGTTGATGGCAGCCATTCTGGCAGGTGTGAAGTGATACCTCATTGTCGTTTTAATTTGCATCTCTCTGATGATTAGTGATGTTGAGCGTTTCTTCATATGCTTCTTGGCCATTTGCATGTCCTTTTTGGAGAGGTTTCTATTTAGGTCCTTTGCCCATTTTTTAATTGGGTTCTTTGTCTTCCTTTTGTTGAGTTGTATGACCACTCTACATATTTTGGAAATTAACCCCTTATCTGATGTTTCATTGGCAATTATGGTTTCCCCTACAGTGGCATCCCTTTCCATTTTGATGGTTGTTTCTTTTGCTGTGCAGAAGCTTTTGAGTTTGATGTAGTCCCATGTGTTCATTTTCTCCTTTGTTTCTGTTGCCTTAGGTGATGTATCAGTGAAAATTCTACTGCGTATGATGTCTGAGATTTTGTTGCCTACATTTTTTTTTTCTAGAATTTTTATGGATTCACGAGTTACATTTAAGTCTTTTATCCATTTTGAGTTTATTCTCAAGTATGGTGTAAGTTCGTGTTCTACCTTCATTTTTTTTTGCAAGTATCTGTCCAATTTTCCCAACACCATTTATTGAAGAGATTGTCTTGACTCCACTGTATGCTCTTGCCCCCTTTGTCAAATAGTAATTGAGCGTATTGTCTTGGGTTAATTTCTGGGTTCTCTATTCTGTTCTATTGATCTATTTGCCTGTTCTTGTGCCAGTACCAGGATGTTTTGATTACAGTAGCTTTGTAGTATAACCTGAAATCTGGTAATGTGATCCCCCCTACTTTGTTCTTTTTTTCAAGATTTCTGTGGCTATTCAGGGTCTTTTTTGGCTCCATGTAAGCTTTTAAAGTGTTCGTTCTAGTTCTGTGAAGTACGTCATTGGTATTTTGATGGGGATTGCATTGAATGTATAGATTGCTTTGGGTAGTATGAACATTTTAATGATGTTAATTCTTCCAATTCATGAAAAAGGTGTATGCTTCCACTTTTTTATATCTTCCTCTATTTCTTTTTTCAATTACCTATAGTTTTCTGTGAAGAGATCCTTCGCTTCTTTGGTTAAGTTTATTACTAGGTATCTTAATTTTTTTGCTACAATGGTAAATGGGATTTTCCTTTTAGTTTCTCTTTCTGTGATTTCATCATTAGTGTATAAGAATGCTGTTGATTTCTTGACATTAGTTTTGTATCCTGCTACTTTGTCAAATTCATTTATTAAATCTAGTAGATTCTTTTTGTTGTTGTTGTTGTTGTTCAGATAGAGTGGGAGGGAGAGAGAGATATAGAGAGAAACATCAACATGAAAGGGACACATTGAGTGGTTGCCACCTGCTCGACACAACCAGGACCAGGGACAGACTGCAATTGAGGTACGTGCCCTTAGCAGGAACCAAACCCAGGTCTCTCTGGACCACAGGCTGATTCTCTAACCACTGAGCCAAACCGGCCAGGGCAAGTCTAGTAGATTTTTGATGGAGTCTTTAGGGTTTTCTATGTACAATATCATGTCATCTGAAAATAATGACAGTTTTTCCCTTCTTCCTTTCCAATTTGGATCCCCTTTATTTTTGTCTTCGTGTCTAATTGCTGTGGCTAAGACTACCAGTACTATATTAAATAAGAGTGGTGAAAGTGGGCATTTCTGTCTTGTTCCCATTCTTAAGGAGAATGCTTTAAGTTTTTGTCCATTGAGTATGATGTTGGCTGTAGGTTTTTCATATAAAAAGTGGTCATCTTAATGAACTATTTCATGAAATGTGTCCACAGGAAGATAGAGTTGAGGATGACTTAAGTCTGAACAGTATGGGAATGGGGAATTGTCATGAAAAAAAAAGTGTACATAATACTTTTGCAGATTTTACAAAACTATGTAGTCATATTGGAGATTGATAGAAGCCTTTCTCAGAGGCGTCTACAGAAAGCAAGGGGCTGTGAGGCTTAAAGTGTGTTATTTTGACAGTAAGTTTACCCCTGGGTATTGATCTCCATCACATGAAATTAGCCCCTCGCTTGCTCAGTATATAGTGGAAATTAATAATTGTTTACTTAATACCTTTTATAATCTTTCTTCCTTTCCCTTTTCCTGAAGGATCCCTCCATTGCACTGGCATTGTTCCATTGCCTGAGGGTAATATTCCTTTTTATTGTTACCAGCAGCCAAAACAGACTCTTCTGTCCTTTTGTCCTCCAAAATATACAAGTCAAGATGTTGTCAGCTTCTCACCTAGAGAAACAAGCAAAAGCTCAATCCCCTGAGGCACTAAGATAGCCAGCGTTTGCTGACACGGAGGTAAATATTAGCATCCCCTACCTAGCAAATGACTACAATGTACAATTTTAGGCTGACCTCAGAGGCACAGTAACTGACTGAAAATCTTTCAATTTTTGGGTTTGGGGATGATTGATTATTCTGCCTCTTCACCATGCTGTTCAAGAATTGGTCATAAATGAGGATCACATGAGAATTTATGTGGCATGAACACCTTGATGGAAAATGTGAAATAATCAATTTACTGTATATTCCTAATTATATATATGAAGAAACTATTATGTGGAGCTGTTCTTGTGAGATAATAAAATTTGTTATTAAGAGAAAAAGAAAAGAAACAAGGTTCCATTTTCAACTGGATGGGTTTCTGTGTTTAAAAAAGGCTTAGGTAAGTTTAAAATGAAAAGAAGCTGAGAAAGAGGTTGTCGTTTTAGGATCAGAGAAAAAAAAATGTTCCTAATATGAGAAGTGCAAATTAAGAAAGATTTTTGGTTTCCTTTAGGCCTTAATTTCTTCTCTTTTATCCTCCTATCTTAAAATGCTGGTCTTTAAATGTAGTGGTGTTCACCTCCCTCCTGACTGCAGTCCTGTGATTATTTTGTGGAAGGAGAAGACTCATTTCATTTATAAGCCAATGGGGGACAGAGGAAAGTATCTACATTAAGTAAAAAATAAAAACCAAAACTGCTTTCTACTCAGCTCTTCACTTAAATACCACAGAACTAGCAGAGGCAAACAACAGTGATAATAAAATCTAGTACATGTGATGTGTGAGGACATTGAGCTAGAAAATGGAAATATGATTGAACTCTTAAGATCACTGTTAGCTTATCTGAAAATGAGAATAAAAATACAGTAGTCCCCCCTTATCCATTGTTTTGCTTTCCTCATTTATAGTTACCCACAGTCAACCAAAGTCTGAAAATATGAAACAGAAAATTCCAAAAAGAAATAATTCCTGAGTCTTAAATTGCACACAGTTCTGGTAGAGTGGTGAAATCTTGCACAGTCATGCTTCCATTTGCCCAAGACATGAGTCATTCCTTTGCCCCGAATATTCATGCTGCTCATGCTCCCACCCATTGGTCACTTTGTAGCCCTCTTATTTAGCAGAGCAACTGTCATGGTATTTATCGTAGTGCTTGTGTTCAAGTAACCCTTATTTTACTCAATAATGTTTCATTCACCTCACTTCATCTCATCACACAGGCATTTTATTATCCCACATCAACTTGAGAAAGGTGAGTACAGTACAATAGGTTGATTTGAGAGAGAGATACCTCATTCACTGGTCAGTGTCGTCTAAGGATCACAATAGGATGTGACTATTTTGCTTTATATGTGTTTTTCCTCTCTACAATTTTCCCCTCTACAATTTAGTTAAAACCTGAGCTACTTCAGGTCCTAAAAGATTAGACTGTGTAAACTCAGATCATTGTTTTGCTTTAGATGTCTCTATAAGTCGGATGTTAGAACGTTAACACATTAAAATCGTGTGCATGATTTCTTATGAGTATCTATCAATGGATTTAAATGAACTTAGGATACTAAGTAGTCAGAGAAAGATTAGCAGCTGTTTTGCCATCCTGCTTCTCCAGGGGCACCAGGAATAAAATAAAGAAGAAAGAAATGGTTGAGAAAAGGTCATTTTCCCTGATTATGTACTAGAAAGGTAATGGAAAGTCATGATCTATGGAATGCTTTAGGTAGGGATGTCTCTCTGCCCAGTCAAAGTTGCTGATGGTAAATAAACATGAACTGTAAGCATTTATGGGACGTGATCCATTGAGAAATCTTAGTGCCAGTTTTATAATTATCTGAGTATTGAGTGAATATATTTTATAACTTGAATAACTCCCTTTGGGGAAGTGATTAGCAGTTTCACCTGTCAGATTTGGAGCAGGGTGTGTCCTAGTGTGGGAAGGAAGAATTTGCGAAACTGCACTGATTCGCTCAGATTTCTTTATTGGCTAAGAATATTGTTGGCTAATGGTGGGTTTTAATTGAATTTGTTTATTCCCTATTACATTCTTCACCTTGTCTGATGCTAAATTTTCTTAAAACATTTTAATTCTACTCAGCTATTTCACCATGAAGTAAAAAGATTTCTAATATGCAATACATCTGCTTTTCTGTCTCTATAAATATCTATATATTAATGTTCTAGTCTTTCTCATATGACCACTGTATTTCTTAATTTTACAACAAAAATTTTCCCCCAAACATTATATTGGGAGTTAGAATTATACTGGTAAAGAATACAGATTATTTGCCTAATAGCATGAGATTATAGTCTAGTGACAATGTAGATATTATGTAATATAGCAATTCTTCAAGTGTAATTTTCTACCCTCTAACGTAATGTAGAGAGTTAGGAACATTTTTCTTAATGCGGTGTTATCTAAGGTGAGACATGAATATCAGAGAAAGAGGAAATGAAAATGAAGAAGATAGTTACAGACAAAGGGAACAGCATGAGCAAAGGCCCTGAAGACTTTTAAGAACTGAAAGAAGGTTGCATGGCAGAAGTTAAGGTCATAATATGGTAATGAGGTAGAGCGCTATGCTGGAGCTAGTTGATGGAAGGCCATGTGAACCATTATAAAGAACTATGGCCTTTAACCTAAGACAAATAAAACACCATGGAAGGGAATGTGCATTGTTTTAAATGAAATATAACCATCTTCTTATTCTTCCTTCTTTTATTTTTATTTAATAAATGATTGAGGTAGAAATACAAGGCTGCCCAGCTCATGGCAGCCCTGACAATGATCCTCAAGGGTTGGCCTCCAGCCCAGGCTGGGGAGAAAATAAACCCCCTGCAGCCCCAGGAAGAGAGGCCTTGCCATCTTCTTTTCTAGATTCAAACCTTTACCTGTTTTTTTTTATAGTAACTCTCTCCACCTCCATCCAGGAGCTTGGCCCATCAGTCATCTTCTCTTTCACTCTTACCTTCAAATCCTACTTACCAATCCACTCTTTCCCCTCTCAAATATTCCTGTCATACCTAAATTGTAGAATTCCTTTTTTTTTCAGCTTAAATACATTCTCTTGTCCTTTAGAGACAAATGTCTTGAAATATAATGTGCGTCATGCTACAGTACAATTTTTGTAAGACTTCCATGCTGAAGACCTGTACCATGATTAAACCTCATTCCAAGTTACTGTATGTAGTATCAGTTTTTGCAAATCATTTGTGGAGTATCTAGTATTGTATTAATCATTGAATGTATAACTAATGTGTCCTCTGTGATTAAAATTTTGGTTCATTTGTATATGAGCTACCCATCCCACAAGGTTATCAAGAATCATTGAACAACAGCATGATTCTTCCTTCCAAGAATATTTATTGGGCAACTGCTAGGTGTGAGATGGGAAATACAGAGGAAGTGAAAAACATTGTCAGTTCCCTGTTAAGAAACTTGGACATGCTGGTGGTGCTGGTGGGGAAAAAGGAAAACAGAAGAAAATAAATGAGTAAATATATGTTAATTTTATGTTATAATACCTACTGAACAGTGATTTCAAACTATAAAGTACTTTAAATTCATTCATTCGTTCATTCACTAATTTAACACGTTTGTATGGCATGTGCTCTGTGAGTGCACTGTGTTCAGTAGGAAATGTCAGTAAGAGAGTGTCCTGACCTGAAAGATCTCAAGTTCTCACGGGAGTAATAAAGGAAGTGATAAACTGCTTTACAATGAGCTAGGTGATGGAACAGGGGTGGAAGCAAACTACTGGAAGAGAGACTCAATTTACTTAACGAAGTAGAGGCAAGATTTTATAGAGGAGGTAAAACCTAGGGGGCTGAATTTTAAAACTAAGATGAGTATAAGGCTATTACAGATTAGATGCAGTTTTCCAAGCTGAAAGAGTAGCATGAATAAATGCATGAATGAGAAAGAGTCCAGCATATAGTCAAGTCAGACTGGCTCAGTGGCAGGGACAAAGAACATAGGAGTGGTAGGGAGACACAGGGCTAGAGTAAAGGGAAGAAATACCAATGAGCTCATTTAGTTCTCTATTCCAAAGTAATGTTATTCATTATTAAATTTTATCATAATTAAGTTATTATTAGTCTTTTTTGTTTCTTTGTTGAGTTTAGAGGAAGGGAGGGAGAGGGAGAGAGAGAGAGAAACATCAATGAGAGAGAACATCGACTGGCCACCTCCTGCACGCCCCCTACTGGGGATCGGGCCCACAACCTGGGCATGTGCCCTGACTGGGAATTGAACCAGCAACCTCTTGGTGCCTGGGACGATGCTCAACCACTGAGACACACTGGTCAGGCAGTTATAATTAGTCTTAATTCAGCTATCCAACTCAGCTAGACTATCAAATAAATTATATACACTTACAGTATAATTAACTACTTATCCCATTATCTTTCACAGTGAAATCAAGCCTACAATTAACTAATTAAACAGGATTAGTCTTTTCAGGAGACGCATAACCACGTTTTTCTTTCTCCTTAGAATTAATGAAACTTTCCTTTCAACAAAGTGCATTTTATCACCAAAACTCTCAGATTCCCACTGGGCAGCAAGATATTGGTATTTGAATATTTATGATGATGCTGAAGTATAACCAGTGATTGTGTTTTCTGTGATAAAAGCAACCGTGAGAACAACCATTTCTTATGTGTTATAAGTTTGCTGCCTACCACCAGGACCCTTAGGGGAAAAATTTCATTAAAGCAAATCAAATTAATAAATGTGCATCTAGCCACAGCGTTGGCATTTATCATTTTAAAATTATATTATTCACCTTCTATGGTAGAAATATAGTTATTGCTATAGATCATCACAAGATCGATGTCTCTAGCTTCAAAACTATCTCTCTTTTGGCTTCAAATTAATCTGGTAGTATGAGTCTGGTATTACTTCAGTGTGTTAGTATGAAAATATGTCCATGAATATTTTTCCATGAGCATCGACTTCTCAATTTAGACAATTAGCTTTTTAGTATAGTTTCTTTTATTTTACTTGGCTACTATCCATTATTACTATGCATTTACACAGTAGCTTTTCTCTAAGGACACTAAAGTACTGTAGTTTAATTGTCCAAAAGAAATGGTGTCAGGGAAGAGGGAAGGGAGGGAGAAAAGTGTGTTTCCTGATTGTCTTAGGGAATTGGGAGATACTTAATTTTAATTCTGGCTTTAAGCCCAGACAGTGAGGCTGTGTCTACACAAGTGAGGTTATGTGTGAGATTTCTAAATTTTGTGTTGAAGAGCAAATGTACATGGAGTCCCATTTGAAGAAACTCACAATGTTATTTTATCGAAGCCAGAGGTTCTCAACCTGGGCAGTGTTTTTCTTCTTCCCGTCTGCCCCACCTTGGGGCCATTTGGCAAAGTACTGAGTTATTGTGGGGGTGGGGAACCGGGTGCCACCAGCATCTTGTGGTTAGAGGGGAAGGATGCTGCTGTAATCCTGCAATGCACAGAATAACTCCTACAAAAAGAATTATCCAGGCCAAAATGATGGTAGCACCCAAATGAGAAATCCTGACAAACCTTAACATTGCATACATATCGATTTCTTTATTTACTGAAAAAGTCTAACACCACACAAAAGCAGCAGTCGCCAAGTATAACTCTGATTCTAGTGAAACTTCATTTGTAATAGGGAGAATTTTCAGACACCGTATAACTGTACTCTTGATTCAGAAATAAAATCAATGTGGAATCTAGATTTTGATTTGTTTTATTTTGTTTTTGTTAATCCTCACCTGAGGACACGTTTCCACTGATTTTTAAAGAGAGTGGGAGGGAGCGAGGGAGGGAGGGAGAGAGAAACATCAATGTGAGAGAGACACACTGATCAGCAGCTCTCCTCACGACCCCGACCAAGGCCGGGGATCGAATGCGAACTTGGTTAGTGCCCTTGAACGGGAGTCAAATCCACCACAGGCTGATGTGCTAACCATTGAGCCAAACTAGCCAGGGCTGGGCTCTTGATTTTTGTCATGTATCTAGAGTAATAAAAGAAGTCTTTTTTCTAATTTCCATGTTACCTGGAGCCTGAAACCCTCCCTGCCTTTGTCTGGAGTCAAGGGAAATTTCTAACTGATGTCCCCGAGCACTCAAATGCTCAGAAGGCCTCTTCTCTCCAGTGAAATTGTCTCCGATTACTGTCACTTTTTTCCTGCCAGAGAAATTTAGTGTCTTCCTTAACATGTCCAAGAAGTGAAATGCACTGGAACTGAAGCTCTTCTAGGAAAAAGATACTGGCCCAGACATGTACACAAAGTAATCCGAAAACTAGAGAACTTTCTGTTCTGTGTTTACAGTTGTCACTGTTAGCAGACCTTAGTCATCAAGCAGTAACTGACTGAAAGAATGTTAAATCATTTAGCACTCTAAATACAGTCCAACACAATATGATGCAGTATAACTGCATAAAGCACAACTTTCATTTTACTTTTGTGCCTTATCTTGCTAAAGCTTCCTCCAAATTTCCCTACTCCTGGAGCTGGTCTCCAAAATGGGAAATTTTGGAGAGGACAGAGGGGCACATTAATAAGTACTCTGTCATCAGGTGTAAGTCAGAACTGTTTCTGGCAGACCATGACTTGGTGACACCAGCTACAGGTGTCACAAGTCGTTTGCTACTGGCACCTGTAATTTTATTCTTCTTCCACTGAGATCACTCCTACTGATATTAGTTTTCTAAACTATGCTGGTCCTTGTGCTAAGAACAATTTCTATTTCATTTGAATGTCATTAGAGAATACACCAGATACTTACCTTTTCTTAGTTTCTCTGTTTCCTCTGGGTGACTGCTGATCCTACTATACATTGGGCAATGCTGCTGCTGGTACAGTACCCTGTGGTCCTCATAAAGCCGAATCTTTAGCAGCGGTTCTCAACCTGTGGGTCGCAACCCCTTTGGGGGTCGCATGACCCTTTCCCAGGGGTCACCTAAGACATAACAGTAAGGAAGGAAGGAAGGAAGGAGTCTCATGGGGTGGGGAAGCGGGGACAGGATAAATGACTGATAAACTTAATCTGTTAAAAAAAAAAAAGTCTTATCTTTGCAAAGCAAAGCATATGCTATGTCAGTCAATTACATAACAGTAGCAAAATTACAGTTATGAAGTAGCAACAAAAATAATATTATGGTTGGGGGTCACCACAACATGAGGAACTGTATTAAAGGGCCGTGGCATTAAGAAGGTGGGGAACCACTGCTTTAGAGTCAAGTGTTAAAAATAGGAAGAAGATGTCTCTCTTCTTATTTGTAACACTTGGATAGAGTATACAAGTACAAAATAGCAACTGCTTTTGTCTTAGTACCTTCAGATTTTTTCATACAGTATACCACATACTACAAAGATAAGTCCACAAACAGCTAGGCTGATAGGTAATTGACTGACATAGCATATACTTTGTTTGCAAAGATAAGACTTTTTTTTTTTTAACAGATTAAGTTTATCAGTCATTTATCCTGTCCCCTCTTCCCCACCCCATGAAACTCTTTCCTTCCTTACACAAATAGGATTCCTTTAGACTCATTTAACTAATCTGTTAATATGTCTAGACAGGTCCATATTCCAGAAGTTCACACAGTTTAGAATTAATCTAGACTTTATTACCATATCAGAAAAATGGAAAGAGTATATCAATTTAGAATTAAAAGTGAAAATAAGGAGAACAGCTTGCAAAGAATTTCTATTTGTCCATAAATAAATTTTCAGAGTCCATATCTTAGCTATTGTAAATAGTGCTGCTATGAACATGGGGGTACATATATTCTTCCTGATTGGTGTTTCAGGCTTCTTAGGGTATATTCCCAGCAGTGGGATCACTGGGTCAAATGTTCATAGCAGCACTAT